TTGTGCATCATTTCTGGAACTGCAGAGAAAAGGTGAAGGGATATCACATGCTGCTTGACTGTGGGTATCCCTGTCTGCACAAGGTGCCCTAGCTCCCCTTGCACTTGCCAGCCATTTCATTGATGGAGAGCTGTTCAGGCAAATAAAAATGGCCTTTCTTGGATACTGAATAAATCACCATTAACTGTAATGAGGTTGAGACATTCGACTCAAGTAGAGACAGCTCTATTTAAGTGTTGACAGTCTGGAACTAAGTCTTGCGGCTTGTGCTTTGTATCAGCATAAAAGCTGGTATTTAGAATGTCCATGTAGCTTGAAATTTTATGAAGCTTGTGAAAGAAGATCTCTTGGTTCTTGTGGTAACTTAAAATTAGAACATTCAGAATATCATATGAGTGAATATCATCAGAATATGCCATAGAGGGCATATCTTTTATGCTCAGATAGACAGTCTTTTCCTGCAAAAGGTTTTACACAGGAGGGTCTCTCTTTGCCTGCTGAGGCTGTCTTCTATGAAACTCTTATATATGAGCCTGTAGACATGTCAGTATTTCCACTGACATAACGCAGCAGCCATTTTCTGCTTAATCTTGTGCTTTGTTGCTTTTTTTTTTTTTTTTTTTGTATTGCAAATGTGGTGCTATTTTCCTGTTTTGATGTTGAGAAAAGGTATTGCCTGGGTCTGGTTCACTCTGGTCTGCCCAGTCAGATTTGGACCCAGGATTAAGTAAGTCATTTTATGTGGAAGTTTTGTATTTTTGCCCATGGCTGCTGCAGAAGAGGTTCAAATTACTGAATTAGTGGTGGAGAATTTTCTTCCATTAGCCCTTTCTCAAGCCAACAAACTGTCATACCTGAGCACTGCTCCATGGCCAAGGATCTGCATGCAGTCTGCTGCAATGTGGTGCTGCAGTGTGGCATTGCAGCAGAAAGGTTCCTTTCTGTGTTAGAAATTCAGTGTGAGCACTGGAAGATTTGTGTTTGCAAACTTGATTTATGCAGCTTCAGTTACTCAACTTTTTTCTCATGCTCCTTATATACTAATGTGAAGAAAAAAATGTATTTTTAGGTCTTTCACTGCTTGGTAGAAAAGGTAGAAAAGCTGAATTTATTAACATTTTTTGTAATAAATCTTGCACTCTGTGCTCTGTACCTCGTGGTTTAGAGTGAACCTATACAGAATTTAGTCCATTCACTTCAAAAGAAATTGTGGTTTCAATAAATTGTAGTACTAAATTGATAGCTTTTGTTGACAAATGTTCTGATAAGTCTTGCTTTTGAAATGGAATCAGTTTTACTGTGTCGGGTTTCAGTGGGCCTGTGGCTTTTTGAAAATGGAGGCATCGTATTGGTATAGCTTCTCAGGATGCATCTGTCTGTAGAAGAGGTTTTAGTGTATGTACTAAAAGGAGTGAGAAATTCTTGTTAGCCAGAAAGAAGTACAGCCTAAATAGGAACAAGAAAGTCTCTGTGTAATCCTTCCTTTCTGCCACTGTTGCAATGTATAGAACTTATTTTAAGTTCTGTGTTTATCTGAGTCACTACCAGTTTCTAAAAGAATGATGTATTTCTCTAGATAATTGCATATTATTTCATTAAAACAATTGAAATTTAAAGCAAATGCTATAAACTCAACCATCATCCAACCCCAGCCAGTAGATTTTAAGAGCCTAAGGCTTTGCACATTTGAGTGTTTTCTACAAACCTTGTTCTTGCAGCAAGCTAGTTGCTCTGAATCCAGGCACACACTGAAGTGGTAGAAGTGATAAAGCTCATTCCAGCAAAACCAGAGGCATGGGCAGTTACTACAGGATAGCAACTGTAGTACAGGTTTGTGTAGTTCACCTTTCAGAAGCTAAGTGCCCAAACTCCTTCTCTCGTTTTAGATTTTGAAAGATTCAAGCTTCAGCTGTCATTTTCTGTGCCAGCCAAGACGACTGGGTGTGGGAGGTGGGAGGAAGCAACAAAACACATGCTCTAGAAATAGTGAACGTGGAAGCCAGGCAAAGGATCTGGCAAAAGTTTGATTTAGGGAGCCAGAGGTATACTCTGACCTTTAAAAAACGTCTATCCATCACTCAAGTACTGTTCAAGAAAAATAAAACCTGATATGCCTAACCAAAAGGGGCTTAAACTGTATGTCTGTAAACTTCAGATAGAACTGTAGGAACCTGTTACCTCCGGCAACCACAGTGTCAAAGGCCACACTGCCTGGGGGCTAGCGATCTGCATTCGCTAGGGCCATAGCAACATTGACACCAATATGATGAAGAAGCAAATGACAATTTATTAAGGCACAACAACCCCTTAAATACACATCCCATTTCGCCTAAGCCCCTTAAGCATGTCACCTGTTACTCACACGATACTCACGATACCCCATTATCGCCTACTACAACACAGCAGGCGGTTCTTTTGCATCACAGCCCGATATCTCGTTAACGCCTACGACAACAGGAACCTAATTTATAATATTACTCTTGAATTTTTTCCAGATGTTTCTTCCATAATATTATCTGCCTGTGTTAGTAGTCCATATGCTTCTCTATGCTTCTTGTAGATAATGCTGCCAATATCAAGACACTATTGCAGTTGATTTGGTACTTGAAGTTCCTCTGTTCCTCTAGTCATGGCAAGATCCATAGAAGGGTGTCTAGGAAGCAATAGTTTTCTCTTGATGCATTTAACGTTATGCTTGACTGTTTTTTGCATTTTCGCCATCACAAAAAATAGGTCTTTATTCAATGTAATATATATATACTTCATTTTTTGTTAGTACAGTATTTTTATTCATACATTCGGGCAAACTTTTTTAATGACAGGTGAGTAAGCTAATACACACTTCTTCCATTTTCATCCTCAGTATAGATATGCAAATAAATTGTTTCATTGGGGTACAATTTTTGTTCTACTCTTTTTTCAACATTTTGCAAGCCAAAATGTGTAGTTCCATTTTTCAAAGTAATGAAACACTTATACTATACAGTTACTAGCCTGAACTGATGATGATGTGTAGCCATGCCCTCCCAGGACAAGGTACAAGATACAGTGTTAACAGAGTCCTCTTTTCTTAGGGCACCTTGTAAGACAGTTTAGGTATACATTTTGTTAAGGACAACCAGTCTATATGAGCACAAGAACTTCCGTTATGCTGTTTTTTATTTTTATTTTTTATTTTTATTTTTTAAAAAACACCAAAACAAATTTGCCTTCTGCTTGTAAATCCAGTTGTCTGGGTGTTGCAGTTGTACTCAGTTAAACAATTGTAATAGTGCCAAATTGTTTGCAAGTATACCTCAGAAGAATGTACAGTGGAAATACTCTACAGGACACCAAGGTTTTAAAGTGTTTCATATGATAGTCACGTACAGATTGGGAGCTAAAACCTGATCAAATTAACAAAGACACAAAAACTCTTCAGTATTTTGCTCCTATGCGTGCTAGACTTGGTCCAGTGTGGATCATAATTATGCAGACAGGGATTTTTGATTGGAATCTGTGGAACAGCTGAAATGGCCAAGAGTATGTGCGCATGGAGATTGCTTTCATCCTGTCCATGAGTATTGCAGCCAAGTACAAATATCCTCTTGGCAGCAGGATGCAGACAGTTTGGTTAGGATTTAAAGAATGAACCTTCCCTTACAGTGATGAGGTACTGAGGTCTTACAGACACAATCCTTGCATTCTGGGATGAATGGTTTGCCAGCTGCCAGGTATCTTGGAGGCACCAGCTACTGTTTGACTGAGGATCATAGAATCACAGGATCACTGAGGTTGGAAAAGATCTCTTAAGATCATCTAGTCCAGCTGTCCACCTACCACCAATATAACCCACTAAACCATGTCCCTAGGTACCACGTCTAGACGTTTCTTGAATACCTTCAGGGATGGTGACTCCAGCTCCCTGGACAGCCTGTTCCAGTGCCCAGTTGCTCTTTTGGAGAAGTTTTTCTTAATGTTGATGTTACAGTTTGGCTTTCTCTGATTGAATGATCCTATCCATCTCTTGCGTTAGGCTGCATCTGCAAAATGAATCACCAGACATGTTAGCAGGGAAATACGGTAATGGAATTTGTTCCTGAAGAGGATGCTGACAGTAGACCTTGGTTGCCTTTCTCAGGATTTTGCTGAGTTGATCTCTGCAATTCTGTCAGGTGTCATAGCCGTGTTACCATAGCCATGTTCTGTTCAAGAGAGGAAGGGTTGAAAGCCGTGTGGAGAAGGACCCAGGGATCCTGATGGATGAAAAACTGAACATGAGCCAGCAGTGTGCTCTTGCAGCTCAGAGGGCCGATGGTATGCTGGGCTCCATCAGAAGAGGGGTGGCCACCAGTGACAGGGAGGTGATTGTCCCTCTCTACTCTGCCCTTGTGAGGTCACATCTGGAAAACTGCATCTGAGTCTGAGGCCCTCAATACAGGAGAGATGTGGAGCTGTTAAAGAGGGCCATGAAGATGGTTAGAGAGCTGGAGTACCTCCCCTATGAAGACAGGCAGGGGGGAGCTGGGCTTGTTCAGCCTGGAGAAGAGAAGGCTGTGGGCAGACCTGATTGTGGTCTTCCAGTATTTAAACAGGAGGTGAGTCAACTTTTTACAAGGGTAGACAGTGATAGGACAAGGGGGAATGGTTCTAAGCACAAGGAGGGAAGGTTTAAATTGGATGTCGGAGGGAAGTTCTGTGCAGAGAGAGAGCTGAGGTGCTGGAACAGCTGCCCAGAGAGGCTGCAGATACTTCTTCCCTGAAGGTGTTCAAGGCCAGATGGATGGGGCCCTGGGCAATCTGGTCTAGTACCAGATCTGGAGGTTTGTGGCTGTGCCTGTGGCAGAGGGATGGAACTCGATGGCCCTTGGGGTCCCTTTCAACCTAAGCCATTCTGTGATACTGTGAAAGTCTGGTCCATTGTGATTGACTGCTGTTATGTCTGGCAGATGTTACTTGTTCCATTAAAAAGAAAGTTTTTTGTTTTGTTTTGTTTTGTTTTGTTTTTCCCTCCCTCTTAGGTGGAACGTATTGGGTATTCAAGGAGCCTTACTTAGCCTCTTTGTGGAGCCAATTTACTTCTCTAGCATCATCTTGGGGAGTTTATATCATGGGGATCATCTATCCAGAGCCGTATACCAGAGGATAGCAGAGATAGAAGATCTACCACCTCTTTATACACTCAACAGACCTTTACTTAGTGGCAAGTATCTAATGGAGAGAGCTGCACCGGTAACTAAGTCTGTTCCAGTAGCATTGTGATTTTGCAGTTTTTCAAAACCTTGGAAATTACATCTTGTGAGTAAATTGGTTTCTGCTTACAACACAGAAGATACGGTGTAAACCTAGTAGGGATACACAAACAGAGCTACCATAGCAAGAACCTGTTGTGAGTTAAAAGATGCCAAAAAAAGCCGGGGTATGAACTGAAGGCACTTTCACCTAATTGCCATCTGGAGTGTGCCTTAGCAACAGGTGAGGCAAGTTGAAGGCCCTGGCTTAATGAAACCTCGTATCATCTATGGGATAGTGTGTTAGCTCTCATTTTCACTTCTCTTATTTGCAGGTATTTATTGAATAGCTAGGTCATTTATCAGTTTTCCAAGATGAAAATATTTGGCTCATTATTTTTAGGCCAGCACCCAACTAAAAGTGGATGAAGAGACGATCTCAGATGTCGCTGATTGTATTTTATTTCGTTATCCATCTCTGTTGGTTGCAGAATTAGCTTTAGATAGCATGGCACCCAAGTTGTTTGCATGACCTAGCTGTAACAATATTTTCATTCTCACTTCATAGTTAATGCACAAATGCTCATTTAGAGCCTGCTGGAATGTCCTGGAGAAACATTTTTACACCTTTTTAAGTATTAGCTGACAGACAGCAAAACAGCCAGCCCTGGCAAGTAACCAGCAGCTGCTGTTGAAACTTCAAGGATTATTCTTTAGCACCACACAGATTATAGACGCTAGTGGGGCTGAGAGTATTTGAACTAATTTAATAAAATAATAATTTAAATAATTTAAAAGGAAAGTTCTAAAGTGTCTTAAAATCTAAAAAAAAAAGCTAGTTACATAATGTCGTGAAAGCTTTAAAACTGAAATCTCTTATACTTCCCGTCATTGTGTGTATTGCGTTGTTCTGTAGAGCCAGGCTTTTGTCACATCTGTTTATTTTCCAGGAAAAAAAAATAATTAAAAAAACCCAGTATTTTAAAGCATGTTTCAAGTTTGACATGGATTTTAAAAATGAACATAGGGAGTTTGTCATGTATTTAATTTATTTTATAAGGATTCTCTGAACTGCAATGTACTATAATGTTAAGTGACATGTATATCCTTATAGTAGCAAGTAATTAATAGAGACAACATGCACAGTTCAAAATATTCTATTGTTATATTGACCTAATAGCCCATGTGTAGAATGTTGCTGATATCTGATATCTGGGAATTTTAAGAAGTTCTTCAGTACAGCAAATTTGGAGCAGGGCACCTTGGCTTTATACAGATCTTTTGTTCTGAAATAGTGTTATCATCTGTCTGTCATGACATAGCATCATCTCTTTAAACAGCTCAGCCAGAACTCCCTGGGCAGTAGAGAGAATTCACAAGTGTCCTCAGCTGTTGAGTTTCATGAAAATGCATGTCTCAAAATGCACAGGAGGCTTGCTTGAGAGGAGACAATCACAAGAATTAGTCTGTTGGATTTCCTTGTGCTGGATTAGTCTTCAAAGCTAGTTTTCTGATCTGTGATGTTGGATCCAAATGGGGCCTAGATGTAGCTACACATCTACTGTTTGACTCACTTATTTCACAGTGTACTCTTACACGGAAATAAACACTGCAGGAGTAACTCTCCCAAATTCCAATCTCTCCCTTATTTGCACCACTGTGGGGTCATTACTTCTTTTTAACAATGGAGTTGACTAAAACAGAAATAGCTATTCAGTTATGGCATTCTGTCTTTCCCCACTGTCTCCCAACTGGTTTAGCTGAGAAAACACTGTAAGAGCTGTTTTTAAATCTCTTATGAGATTACTTCTGTGTCTGCAGGGACAGTTGCGTTAAGATGAACTTACCTACTCTACTGGTAAAAATAATCTTTTCATCAAATGTTCTTTCTTTCTTCATAGGAGATTTTCTACTTATACATCCTTTCCCCATCAAGTTAATTGGAAGCATACATATCAGAGCAGCAGTTTTTCAGCTAAGAGTGCAGAAAACCCTTATGTTGGCAGGAAATTCCTCATATGTATTACCAGCTATTTATCTTCAGTTAATTTCATCTGCCTTGAAGAGAAGTTCCATCTTGTGAACATACCCACACTCTTGCGGGCAGTCTAGATGCAAAAACTCAATTTATTTTTTTGTATTCAACAAGATGTTGACAAACATGGAAGGAATTTCTAGAGATTTTAAATATTCATGCTTCAGCAGCTCTCTGAATGACTACTGTGTTCGTTTTTTTAAATTTATTGAATTTGCTCTTTTGTTTTTTACAAAAAAAAACAAAACAAAACATCCTTTAGCAGACTCTTTGGTGATTTTTCGTGTTTCCTGGTACCTTATCAACTCTTTCACTTTGGTGTTTTTAGCCCCTTACCTCCTTTGGATGAAGCTTGCTGCGAGCTCTGTCAGGCATTGCTAGTATGTACACGCTGACCTAAAGTGGTGATCTTTGATTTTGCCTGGTTATAAGAATATCCAAGAAGAAGTTCAAAGCGATGTTCTCTAAAATATCGTAGTTGTAACACTTTTCAAAGGAGAATGAAATATTTTACTTTCTATCCTGTCTTTCCCTCCCATTACTAGTCTCAGTTAATTGTGTTGCATTCATGTCTAGCTCTTGAGAGAGAAGATATGATCCACCTAAATGACTGTCAGATGCTTTGCTTTTGCAACCTTAGTTTCCTGTTCATGCTGCCTGTGATCTGCCTTCAGAGACTCCTTTGGCATTTTTCCAGGGTTCATGCAGATAAGTGCTGCTTACCAAGGTGTCATTTAAGTGTACTTGAAATTCAGAGTCATTCTTGTTTGTTATGACATCAAAATAACCTAAGAAATGCAGTTGTGTAACTGCTGCTGAAATACATTGCATGCTGGATGTTATGTTCACTGCCATTTTTATCTGAAAATCCTTTCTATACATCCTCCACTGTGCATGAGCAAGGTGGTAGAGAAATGTAAATTGTCTCCAGTGTTTGCTGAAAGAGTTGCTCACACTCTGGACGTGTTGGTCTGGGGAGAGAATCACTCATTAAAGGAAAATGTAGGGCAGGATTTTGTTTTTTAATGGAAATGATCTCTTTCCCAGTAATAAGAAAAGGAGCAAAAGGCCTTTTTTGCAATATGGAATATATGATATCCGATCACCGTGCTTGTTCAGTGGTACATGAAACAAGCAAAAGTAATAGTACAGATATTTTTAAGTTAAATTAAAAATGTGACTGACTCACTTCTCATGTAGTAGCCATTTTTAACCCCTCTTGCCTCAGTTGGTTTGCTAAGTTCTCCAGTATGTGCCGCCTTAAGCAAATGACTGTTTCACATCAGCTTCATAAAACAAGCCTGAATTTACACGCTTATAGAGAGTCAGGGTTTAGATTCCTTTTTAATTATATATATTATATATAATTAATAGTTCTTTTAGGTGTAGGTCTTCTATTGTGTGACTCCTGGAACAGTAGGGTTTGTTTGCTCTGCAGTATTTGGTCTTTAATGGCACAGAAGCAGTTGTGTTGTGCATGATCCGTTCCAGTTCTCATGCGACTCGATGCACGGACTTTTTGGCAACCACTCAGAATGGACAGCAGAAGTTGTGACAATCTCACCTGAAAGAAACTGGAAAATAATAATAAAGGAAACTTTCATTCCAATTCCATTTTTTTCAACTCCTATTTTAAGCAAATTGGAATGGTGGGACTGTTTATTATTTACTTGGCTTATTGTCTGTCTGTGACAGTGACCAGGTCGACATAAGCCAAGCATAAAAACACATCTGCATCAGAAAATTCATTATTTCAGAATGTTCATTTAGTAAGCGAGGAACTGGTTATCTGAATTTTGCTTTGTAATTTTGCATCTAGGACCTCACAGCTCTCACATAGTCTCATCTTTGCATCCTACAAGTGGGAGCGGGACCCAGAAGTGCTATAAGACCTGGGCCAATATACGAGTCCTGTGCTTATCTGCTTTAGGCTGACTTAACTTTTAGATTGTAGATTGTTAGATTGTATTTCAAATACCATCAAGAAACGCATCTTGCCACAATGCTAATATTGATTCATACAAATTTACTAGATTATTTTAGATGTAGGACCCAGCAGAGACTCAGAGTAGGTACAAAATAGACTTTCAAAGAGTTATGTTAAAGTAAAAATGGGATTTTTATTTATCAGAAAAAGAAAAAACAAACATCCCTGTCTTTTGTTCCCTTTCTCCTCCCCTCTTAATGAGAAATTGAAACATATGAAGTTTCACCACCCTGTAATGTGTGTGAGGCCACCATGCTGCACAGCCTTAAACTGCACAGTGCTTAAACTGAAGTGCAGCTTAAACCACTTGCTGTGCTGGTGGCCCTGGCTGCTGCCTGAGAGCATTAGGGACATGCTGAGAGGATTCCTGATACGTGCAGAAAATGGGCTGTGTCACTGGAGACCTACAGTTGCCATTTCTGGGCATCTTCAGCAGTAATGAGCACGAGAAGCGGAGAGGCAGCTGAAGCACAGCTGGATTTATGAGAAAAGAGGCAAGGGTCTGCTGGTTTTGGCTTTCTGCATAGGATGCTGAGCTTGGGGCTCACTTTGTCTAACTTGGATGCCTACAGCATCTCTAGCCATGTGTGTGCTAGTTGCACCATGCCCCTGTGCAGTTGGTAGGAAGGAAGTGCTGTCAGGCAAGACATCCTCTGCTGATGAGAACCAGAGTGAGGTCAGACCCCCTTGAAGCATTCCTCTTCTCACAGCTATAAGGAGGGAGGTGAATCAGTAAACAGAAGTGTTACTGGTTCCCAGCTTGTCTTTCAGGCACTAAAGCTTGCATTTGAACATGTAAAACATTTATGGAATCAACACTGCAATACCTTTTAAGGCAGTTGTATTTATGTAGAATTAATGGTAATTTTAATGAAACATACTCTACAGCTACTGAAATGGGGATGCCTTCATGCCTTAGTTTGCAAGACATTCCTCATCTCATACTACCGCTCTTATTCTAACTCCTTTTTTTTACAAGGGAAAGTGAAAAAGCACATTGTAGGCACTTCTAAATAGGATTGAATGCTTTAAATAAGATTGCAGTTACAAGTTGTTGGCTGACTTTTAATTGTTTGTGCTGAGACATGACGAGGGTTCATCGTTCTGCACTGGTTTTAAAGTGCAGACATAGTGAGACATGCACTTAGTTACTTGAACTCTTACAGCAGCAGAGTGAAAGGGAATTGATCGGACAGTTACAGCTAGGGAAGCCTTGCTGGATCTGCTCTGTCTGGAACTCAGCTAGCATTGCTGCTGAGTGGGCTTTGAGGGCAGTGGTTACCTGTGCAGGACTCCAGCAACATTTCTTCTTCTTCGTAGTTATTTGCAGGTCAGTAATTCATGAATTGGTTTGACCTGTAAACCAGACCAGATATTCCTGAGGTGCGTGTTGTCATTTAACCCAGCAGGCAGCTAAGTACCACCTGGCTGCCCGGTCACTCCCCCTTAGCGGGGTGGAAAAGAGAATTGAGAAAGATAAATGTGGGAGAATTCCTGGGCTGAGAAAAGGACAGTTTAACGTGAAAGAAATAATAAGTCAAAATTAAAAAGAAAAAAAAAAAAAAAAGGTGAGGAAGGCAATTGCTCACCAGCAACTGACCAACGCCCTGCTGGACACAGAGTGAGGACTGCTCCTGTGGCCAGCTCCTGCAGCTTTTACTGCTGAGCATGGCACCCTTGGTATGGAATATCCCTGTGGCAGCTTAGGTCAGCTCCTGGTTTTGTTCTGTCCCAGTTCCTTGTGGCCCCTGGCCTCCCCATTAGCAGAACAGTGTCAGAAGCAGAACTGTCCTTGATTTGGCTCAGCAACTAAAAATGTTGATGTGTTATCATTTTCATCCTGAATCCCAAACACATCACTATGCCAGATGCTCTGAAGAAAATTAACTCTATCCCAGGCCAATATGGCAAGGTGCTAATATCACTGTCCACGTGGAGCTCTACGTAAGTCTACATAGTCTTCTACATAATCCTCCACTGAGAAGGCTGGTATTTCGTGGCTCCACTGATGCTCACCTGCCGAGCTAGGAATGACAAAGTGAGAGGGGATTTTTAATCACGATGAGAATGAAATATGCATGGCAGTATTTCTACGATTCGGTGAAAAATCTGCAGGAGAACGTCCCCATAAAAAAGAATTGACTGCAGTGTGATTTCAGTAGCCTAGTAGGAAGAACAATCGGCAGTTAGTGTTTATTGTAGTCATTAAATCTCTCTTCTTTCAGGTATTAGCAATGCAGAAGCACGCCAACCAGGGAAAGCACCAAACTTCAGTGTAAATTGGACAGTGGGAGACACTGGTCTTGAAGTTATTAATGCTACAACTGGCAAAGATGAAATGGGCCGTGCATCTCGCCTCTGTAAGCATGCTTTGTACAGCCGCTGGATGCGTGTTCATGCAAAGGTATATATTCCAGTGTGGAACATTTTTCACGTCCAGTTTATTCTTTATGGCATGTCCATGTGTATCTTTCTGTATTCAGAAGCCATTTTTTGTGCCTGTCTTAAGCTGAGCCTGACATTAGCTACCAGTCCACAGTGTAATGGAAGATAACACATTCATTTAGGTTATTTAATGGTATAACGCCTGGTACAAAATGCATGCAAGGGTCTGATAATCCTTGATTATAGTTCCTAACTCCTTTCCTATTGCCTTCTCATTTTAATTTCTTTGGAAATACAATCCCAATTGCGCTGAAATCCAGCCTATAGAGATTTCACTCTGTTCTTAGAAAGAAAAGAGTCAAATAGTATACATGAATGGCTTTTCAGTGCCTAGATTTTTTCTGCCCAAGGACATGGATAGTACAGAAAAAGCTAAAGGCATGCTAAGTGTAGAAGAGCTACCACAGCACTGCTGAAAAGTGAAGTCCAAAGATTGCTTCTCTGTGTATGTAGTTTGGTCTTGCAGGAGGGCATGTTTTGCAAGAGGATGAGTGTGAGTTATTGCAGTGAAACTGAATACAGATCTAGAATGGCTGGAAGTAGTATATTGTGCTTTTGGCTTGTTGCCTTTGCCTGCACGTTTGGTTGAGTAGTTCATTACCTTGTTTTCTAATTGCTATTTTAATAACTCAGTTTCTTTCCAAATGTTTGTCTGAGTAAATCATTTGCTCTCTTCTTTTCTTGTCTTTTTCATCTGCACAGCTTTCGTCCAGCTCGCGCTTGAAGATCTTCAAGCCTAACCTGTACCATGAAACCAAGCAAGGAGCCACTGAGTATCAAACTGCCAAAGAGTGTTTATTTAAAGCATTCCTGAAGGCAGGACTTGGAGCATGGGTGAAGAAACCCATAGAACAGGATCAGTTTTCACTCACTGTCTAGTTCACAGTCTGCACGTCAGTTTGGAAAGGGGGTCGCTTTGGAAATCCTGGTGTCCAGCATTGCTTTTGGCATCTCCACGCCACGTTAAAACATCTTTTTACTATTTTTTCTTTTTCAAAACTTGGTAGTAACTGTTTTGGTTTTACCTAAGTATTGAAACTCAATGATAATCTGACACATAATGGTATATTTTGTTATGGGAAAGTAATTTCTGGTGTATTTCTAGAAATACTTTTACTGTAGAAAATCTGCAGTAAGGCTGTCCTTACAGTACACAATGACTCATTTTTTCTGGGTTAAAATAATTGCTTTTTTACTTCGATGTCATCAAGTGCATGAAGAAATGAATTTTTCTTTAGATTTTACACCACACTTGTAAGAAGTAGCTTAATTTTTTAGGAGGAAAAAAGGCAACAAAGTTGATTCTTCTCCTCTTTTAAGTTGTTTTTGAATTGCAGGTGTTGCTAGCATATGGACCACTAAGCCAGAATGAAGTCTGGACAAGTAGTTTTCCCCACTTCCTTGCTCTTTAAAACCAGCTGCTGAGAAGTTCATGTCTTTGATGTATGTATTTATTAGTCTGTGATCCCATTTTTAACATGCAGCTTTCTGTTCTGGTTTTAAAAATACATTTGCCTCCCATTTACACACATTGTGAAGTCTTTTTTTTTTAAACCATTGTAAACTGGAAACAACAAAATGATTATTTGTAAGTTAGGAAGTATAGTCTATAATGTGCAGAACTCTGTTTAGATGTAGGTGATTTGTATATCCTTTGAACTCGTTAGAGTACAATAATAATTACAACATGACAACTTAGAAAAATCTGCTCATTTTGAGGTCACTCAGCTTGAATGGTCAAAAAAAAAGGGCACTCAGTGAACATTAATTGCTCTCTTCTTGAAGAAATGAAAAGCTCTTGTATGGACAAAAAAGTTGTTAAAACTTCTTTTCTGCTTTCATTCAAGTTGCTACGTTCCTTTTAAGATTTCGTTACCTTTTGGCTTTACACGTGTGATGGTCTTCATGAAACTAATTGGTAAGTTGTTAAATGTGGTTTAATTTGCTTTGACAGTTAGTTAGGTCTTTTTCACAAAGGTGTAAACACGTCAGCTTTATGTAAAAATGTAAAATGGAAAGAAAATATTTTGAGATCTGTTTGATTAGCTGGTGTACTGAAGGCACTATTAAAAACTCTTTTTAGTATATGATATTTAGGTGTGGATTAGAGAATGTCTGGAACCAGTTATCCGCTCCCAAAGTCTATGTCCAAACGCATCCTGTGGCTCATACTTTTTCAAGTGTCATGCTTGCTTTCTGGAAGGCCCCTTGGTGATCGTCATTCTTTTGCAAACAGTGAAGTGATGTTCCTTGACACAGAAGTTTCTGACACAAAACCCAAGCCAAGCATGTTGAAGCCGACGGGCCCTGTCCCTCAGCTCTACATCCCCACTTCTTGCCTGCGCTGCCCTGGACATCAGATCCGTGGGCTGGTCCATATTTTGAAGTCAAGCTAAGGGTTGTTTTTAGACCTGCAGCGGGTCAGAGTTGCAGCTTTGAGTTGTGTCGGCACATCTGTGGAGGAAGTAAAGTGGAGCAAAGGAATCCCTTCAGCCAGCTCTGTGGCTAAAGCCTTTGCCTTCTGAAGCTGTCACTGAAGTTACCATACCTCAGACCAAGCATCTCTGGCGGAGTTACTGACTACTTGGGCCATTGGAGACTTTGCAGAAAGCACTTCTGCCCTATCATAAATGTCAGGGAGACATGCTGCTTTGTTACTGCTCAAGTAGGAACCCGTTTTCAACTTCAAAAATTGGTCAGGCCTGATAAGTCACTGGTGTGTTGGTTTCAGCCTCTGGATTAGTGTCTTGGCAGTGGTGCGCTGAGACGCGGTTGGTGTGCTTTTGGTGGTGGTACGGATAATAGCAAGCGCTGCTGCAGGAAGGCAAGCAAATCCGTGGATCCCTTCAGAAAAGACTGATGCTTCCAGAGGCTACCAAGTTTTCCAGGTGCCAGTGGAACAAATATGCGCTGTAGTAGACAGGCTGTGTTGATTCAGCTTTGTTGGCAGCTTAAGCTGTCCTGTCTGTTTCTGCACTGAAACCAGGAGTGCTCTCACGGCCTCTGCCAGCCCCACGAAGCAGGAGGACAACAGTTTCGGAATGCAGTCTGGGCCTTTGCCATTGTCATCTCACTGAGGCTCAGACTGACTTATTCTAAAGCTAAAAGTCATCAAATGGCTTTTGGTCAGAATTTGCAAGTGCTTGGGCGTTTACTTTTGAGATCAGTCCCATCTTGTTAGTGTTGCAGAAATGCCTTTATGGCTGCAGAGAAATCTGTGCATACGTTTTGCAGGATTGAGGGAAAGCTGGTTGCTCTGTGTGCATTTTCTTGGGATCGTTAGCGTTCCTAAGCGAAATACACATTTTTAAGGGACTCAGTCTGTTGATAAATGAAGTCTGCTTATAATTTCAAACAAATAACTTTTACTTGTCTTTCTGAAGTACTCAATGAGACGTTGATCTCTCTTTGGATTTTTTTGAACACTAGGAAAGTATTAGCTCAAACTATTTTTTTTACAAAGTGACAAATATGAGCAATATATTTAAGTATTATTATAGACATAGTTTTTTAAGCTGTTCAAATGAATAATTTTAATGAAACTGTAAAGGAAATCTGTTCCATGCCACAACCTTTTGATGAAGGAATGGTGCCAGGTATTTATGAGGAATGAGTGCTCTCGTTTATAATTCCCGGATTTTAAAAAGAAATTTTCCAGGGTTGTATGCAATCCATATCTGTCTTGTGGGAGTCAATAAAATACTGCCTGGCTTCCTTCACTTGTTTGCTCCTTTTTGTGCAGTTAACTTGCGGGAAATGACGAGGGAAGTCCTCAGTCCCCTCAAGGATGTGACCTGTCACGCTGCCCTAGCCCGTGCTTTGCCCTTGGCTGTTCCACTCAGCGCCTCGGGCCGGGTGTGATTTACGATGCTCCTGTGTTCCACGTGAGTCACCCCCACTGGACATGCGTGAGTAGCGATGTATGTCATTTCAAGCGACTGTGAAAGATAAGACCTTCCAGCAGCTGCTGAATTTTGTGGCTGACCTTTCTGTTCAGAGCTGTTGATTTCTGTGCATTTTGGAAGGCTGATCTCTTTGTGAGAAGCCTCACTGCGCTGCATGGGCCAGGTGCGCGGGAGCTGGCCTGAGCAGCAGTCTGCAGTGCCGCTCTGTGAGCCGCTTTGGTTCTCTGATTTGTACGTTTTTGCGCCCGTGTTTGCCTCAGGATTGCAAAGGGTTTACATAAAGAGGAACAACTTTCATGCCAGTGAGTACTTGAACGCTAATTTAGGGTGTTTTTCTTCACGTGACAGCCCAGCTTTGATACGTATTTATTCCACTGTATCATTTCAAGAAATTTGACCAACTCAACTTCCTTTCTGCTCCCTGCTGCTCCGTGCTGGAGAGCCCTCTGGGCAAGACTCAGGGAGCACAGGCCAAACGAAGTAGCTGCTCAGCCGCCGGTGTTTCCCGGCCACCACCTTTCCTGGAGAAGTCCCAGCTCAGCTGGTTCCCAGCAAATCTGATGGTTTCAGGATGCACTGGTTTTGTGGCAGTTCCTTTACAGCAACAAACAGTCCGGAGTATTTGCAAATTGACCACCAGGGAAGAAGGTTGCAAGAGTCTCTGGCAGACAGGCTGGGCATCACCGCTGCACGGTGTGTGGTATTTTACCATAGCCAGGTGTTCTGATCCCCCTGACACGCAACTGGATAAAAATAAAGGCCTGATTTTCCTGGGAATATCCATTAGATGAAATGCTTTGAGGCTGTAGATCGATCTGTGCATGCATTTCTGCAGGATTGATGGAAAGCTGGTTGGTTAGATTTTAAGAAATGTACGAGCGTTGTACTGTCAACAGGAAATGAGCCCCTGAAATCTTGATATTTGAAGATAATCTGCACCCTGGCCTCATTGCGTTGCTGCAATTTGCATTGCTTTTCTTATCTCGTTGGGTTTTACGGCTTTTAGTAAACTTAAAAAGATGGGAGTGTTTGTTCTTGAAATAGAAATGTTGTGTTTTCCTGAGCAGAGCGTCTCTGAAGCCCAAGTATGGCACTTTGGAAAAGGAAATTCTTCAGAGTGTGAGTCACGTGCAAGCAAAACAGGGCCATAAGTAGGCTAATGGAAACACCTAGAATGGAGCTGGGTCCCAGCGATCCTTCTTTATGAGATATATCAAGAGGATCTGAGCAAATGTTTAATGACTGTGAAATTCCTTCTTGGAATTTCATTGAGGAATTTCTACTGATAATCTACTGATAATAAAGCATTTTCTTTTTCTTTCTTTCTTTTTTTTTTCCCCAACTGTAATGCAAAAGGAATAATTCTTAGACTAGAATTGTGCTGTTCATGGAGTTGTGAAATAAACACGCTAAAATAAGCTTATCTGGAGTCATAAGTTCAATAGTGCCATGCCTAACAAAGTTGAAGCTCGAGGTAATTTTTAAGTTATTTTTAAAAGAAACTAAGGATGATTTAAAAAACAAACTCGTGAAATCACACACCAAGAAAAAAAACAACCAAGCAAAAACAAAACTCAATCAGTCCAGACTCCTGTCTCACTTCATTGGAATTCACATGCCAAACATTAACCCTTGGCAGCCGGCTTTGCCGTAATTGCTTCCCAGAGCTAGGCCTGAGTGCTTCTTAATAATATTATGTTTGGGTGGTTGTAGGTGGTGATGTCAGTCCTCAGATCTGTTAAACTTCACACTTGGGTCAACACAAGCAGTTTTTGCAGGTCATCCTGGCTCACCAGCACTCCCTGCACTGTGTCTTTTGACCCCTTTGTTCACTCCCTTTATCAACCTGATGATGATTTGCATGTAACTCTTCCATGGTATATCCAACTTCCTAACAAACTGGGAAATGAACCAAGGGGTGTATCTCCTATCTGTTAGATGTGGTCACAGAAGAAACCCATCACAAGCCCTTTGCAACGTGATGTAATGTCATGGAGTCATTAATTGTTACACCAGTCCACGAGTTCCATTTGACACATGGTTGTTGGAAAGCGTCTAAACTTTGATAAGAGATGTGTATATGCTGGGGTAGCCCTTCTTGTAGTTTATATTGTGGGCTACCCTCCACACACTGCTCTCTGAAAGTCCTATAGACCGTATCAACTTCTGAGCTGGCCAAATCAGTTTTTATCCTGAACCACCTGGACTGCCTTGGAGATGCTCAAATGGAAAATTCTATTCGTATTTAACCTTGGAGCAACGTGCAGATTTGCAGTGTGGTACAGTAATACCTCTGCCCAAATTGAGTGCTCGGTTCAGTTCAGAGCTGACCGCTGGACAGAGAATCTCTGTGATATGAGTGAACATATTTGCTCTGTATATGGTCCTGGAAAAACATCAAATGGTCTTTGAAAACACTACCTGGCAAGTCCACAAGTTGTCAAATTGGACTAGACATGCTTTTGAAGAACTAAACTCACAAGTGCTGCCGGTACTGAAAATGGCATTGCAACACCAGTTAGTGCTTGATATGCTGTTACTTAAGGCTTAACAGAGTGCACGTGGCACGTTAGATCTAACCAACGGGTAATGTATTAGTGTTCATCACGCCACAACCTCCCTAGAAGAAGCTTGAAGACAGAAGAGATCACAGAGCAAACATCTGAATTGTTCCACTCTCTGCTGATATAGGTTGGTTTGTTTAGCAATAGGATTAGTACATTAGTTTAAGAACCTGTATATTAATTTAGCAAAAGGAATCCACGAGTGATAGTTCTAAAAGCTTTCCGTTTCAGCTTGAGTGGGCGAACGGTCTTGTTTTCCTAATAATTTTGCACTGGGGACATAATAGAATACTTTCATCTTTTGCCTCAAAAGGTGCAAGGACATTTCCCTCAGGCTCCACATGCACTGTTGTTAAAAAGTGGCTCACTGTGTCCTAAAAAGCAATGGGAATCTTCCAGATGGGGAAAGTGGATGGCAGTGGGTCAGACATCTCGGTGGTAAAGCTGATGGTGGAAAGAGGGGAAGAATAGGTGGGCACTCAACCACCCTAGGTAACACGGGGCATCCAAAGGGACATTAGCACAAATCTGAGTCCTTGAAAAAGAATGAATTTGTATGCCAACGTACTGCATATGCATGTCAGAACTGAACTCTGAGAGGGTGTGCTTGCTTGTCATGTCACCTGGTGCGTGCTGTGAGGAATAAAGCAATGGCACTTTCTGCACACAGTGGAGTTAGTTCTGTCAGCACAGGGACTGATCCCACTGAGACTGGGGAAGGGAGTGGGGCTTGGCTGCTGCGGTGCTGCGTGGCTTCCTGGGGATGGCAGCAAGTCCCAAAGCAACAGGTCTTGCAGATGTCAGGGTAACCCCTGTGAGCTGAAGAAATACAAAGCCAGACATGACCCAAAAAGCAGAATCCAAGTTAAAGGTAAATCTGGAATCAGCATTGGTCAAGACTGTGTAGCCTTTGGCACAGCCCAGCAGCCCTGGGGAATGCCATTTGCAGCTGGCTGAGATGTTTCCTGATGGATTTAGCAGAGACCACAGAGGTGTCTCAAAGAGGTGGTTCTGCAGCATCTCCTCGAGCCGCAGTTGGTTTCTGTAGCGCTCGTGAAAGCTTTTGCTTTTTAGAAATGCACCTTGTGTGAGCAGCAGCCAGTTCCGAGGTACCTCTGTTGGTACGGACACGGACCTGTTGGTACAGACACGGACCTGATCTGAGACAAGTGGGGGTCTGCTATAAAGCCCATCTCAGTATCACAGCAGAACCTCACACCTGTTTGAAGCCACCTGGGATGTGATCCAGGTGTTCTTGTGCCGCTCAGTGCTGATATCTTTCCTTTGATGGGTCCAGCTCCTCTGCTACGACCAGTGAGAAGATCACCAAGCTCTCTGAGCCAGGTGGTGAGCCCGAGAAGAAGATCTGGGTAGCTCAGCCATATCTCTGACTCAGAGCATTTCTCCCCACTTGTTTGTGTTGCCTGTTTCTGGCTTGATAATCTCCTGCTGTCGATGCGTTCACTTTCCATCAAGAATGTACAGGCGACTGATGGATGGCAGCTGTGGCCCATTGGGACTGGGGACTGCAGGGGCTCCTATTCTGATTTTTTGGAGGGGTCTTATTGGGGTTGGGCAGTCCCATTGCGGTTGGGGGGCCCATTGGGCTGTGGGGCTCCCTCGGCTCCTGTTTTATTGTGGGGAGTCCTATAGGGAGTGGGAGGGGCTGAGGGTTCCCACGGGACCTGCCTTTTCTGGGGGGGCTTATTGGATTTAGGAGGGTGTGGGGAGTCCCATTGGGCTTGGAGGGATTTTGGAGGGGTCGAGGGGGTCAAACTCCACCCAGATTGAAGTATTTCTGCTGGGAGCGTGGGATACCCACCAAACCCCTTCCTATTTGATTCTGTCCTAGAACCATAGAGTCATAGTTGGAAGGGACCTTTAAAGGCCATCTGGCCCAGCTCCCTGAAATGCACAGGGACACACCACAGCTAGATCAGGGTGCCTGATCCAGCCCCCCCCCTTGAAAGTCTCCAGGACAGAGCAACAACCACAACACTGGGGAACCTGTTCCAGTGCCTCACCACCCTCACCGTAGATTTTTTCCTTATATCTAACCTCAATCTAGCCTCTGTGAGCTTGAAGCCATTTTCCCTTGTTCCATCACCACAGACCCTGCTGAAGAGTCTGTCCCCTCTGTTGCTGCAGCTCCCCTTTAGATACTGACAGACCGCTATCAGGTCACCTTGCAGCCTTCTCCAGGGTGCACAGCCCCAGCTCTCTGCCTGTCCTCGCAGGAAAGGTGTTCCATCTCTCGCATCATTTATCACTTTCACCAGTTGCAGGTGCTTGCTTTCCAGACCATCTGGGTACGGATGAATCACAACACCATCCTGGGAATTCTGCAGCCTCGTTGGTTATCCTGCACATGGCACGGGACACTGCTTGAGGATAAAGAATGGAAAAGTGTGCAGCTCCTAAAACCTCACCTCATAACGCCGTGATGCATGGTTAGATGTGTGTGTGCAGCTCATAGCTCCAAGAAGGGGGAGGACAGCTGCCGCATTGTGGAATGAATTACAGAACTCGTTGACACTGAAGCTGTGTTGGAAAACTAATCCTGATGAGTGTTTCTAAGAGGTCCTGGCCAGCAAAACGGTTTTATAAGGAGAGGGGAAAAAGATGAATTTTTGTGTTGGTTTTGAGAACTAAAGAGCAGAACAAAGCAATGGCAATTTCAAATTGGAGTCTGTTTTGCCATTTTAAGCATCTGTTACTCTTCCTGGTGACAAAGCATTCAAATCTCAAATTCAAATCATAAGGATCTCCTTTTTCTAGCCTTGAATGTTAGATTCCTGGTGTAAAGCTCCCTAAAGGAAACAAAAACCCTTTTAAGAAGCCAAACTCTTTTCCCAGGAGAGCGTGTAGAAGTCCCTTTGATAAACAGAATTTGGCAGTGAGCAGGGAGGAAATGTGCTTTGTGAGTGGCAGCATGAGTACACCCATCAGGCTTCCAGTCTTCTCCCCTTTCCCTCCTCTAATTTGTGTTTCTTTGAGAAAAGGAAGGTTTGTGTACCTATTGTACCAGTCTGTTTGTTCTGAGTTTCAGCAGATGTAAATGAACCCAGGAATAGCCCCGAGATCTTTGTTTGACCTGCTTAAGTGGTTGTGAGATGTTAGGCTGTAGTATGGTCAAAGACGAGGCATTTCTCTGAGCTAGTGGAGCAAGACTTGCAGCTTCTTGTCCCTCAGGTCTGCCAGGTGTGGCTACTTAGTGCCGATAAAGAAACATCTAGAAGAGCGTGAAAGCCTCAAGAAAAACATACATACGGTTCAGCCTCTCCTCTTCCCCAGATCCGCTAAAAGTTCGACATAAAACCTAGCAGATAATCTGCCAAATCCAGGTGGTAAAAGGTCCTACTGCATTTAGTGCTTTAATGTGTAACCAGGAATGTTCCTAATGCTCATCAAGAAGACTCCGCTGCCAGCACAGAACTGGGGCACAGGACTGCCTGCTGGATTCAATTCTGTAGAATTGATAGATCAATCATGAGCAGCTTGCTAGAGCTTGAAGTAGTTGAATCGTCCCATTCAGAACCGTTAAATAAAACCTCATAATCACTTTGGAATTGTAGCTCTGAGCTAGGCTATGCCACTGGTGTAAGTGTCTGTGCTGCAGACAGTGTCCTTCCTCATCCTCATCCTCCCAGTTGTGCTCCTCCTTGGAGGAAGGTAGCACCGTCAGCTTTCTACCTCACACAGCAGTCTCTATGTGAGCATGGACTCAGTCGCTTTCCAGTTTCCCCGTGGCACTCTCCTATGCTGTAGCAAAGGAACCTCATTGGTGTGGTTGCATCATGGTGCACTGATTTCACGATGATACGTGGTCTTCATGCAGTG